CATCAGGGCCAGGCAAACGTCCCACAAAGAGCGTCCCCTAAAGTTGTGGTGGACTCCAGACAATCAAGGCGGACTGCCTGAGCATAGAGGCTTCCCCTGCATGGAACGGAAGACATACAGTAGTCGCATTGTCTGTTTGGCAAGGTAAAGAACACGGCATCTTCGGACAATCGCATACCGGGTTGCGTGATGAAAACAGGATGCCCGAAAGCTTGAAGCTGGAGCACCATCGCTTTTGACGGCCTGCAGTGAAATCATTGCAGCCTTGTCAAAGAGTTCTTTTGCAATTACAGTTTACACGAATGGCTCATGGCATATCATGGCATCGCAACGTGGGTTTCGACAAGGCGCAAGCACGCGTAGTCCGCAGATGCGGTTGCTTAGGAATCAGCTTTATTGCTCACGACAATCTGCCTGGAACTTGAAAACAAGACGACGCTTTAAGGTCCCCCTGAATCTACAACTTGGTCAACAGTGTACAACGGAAACCTCAGCTGAAATCGCATGTGGGGAAGTGGAATGGACAGGCTCAAACCAATACACAGGGATTCGTCAAGAATGTCAGAGAAAGGACGTTTTCGTAATGGTAGGAGCAGTATTCGACCTTGAAGCAGAGTTGTGTAGAAGACAAGCGGAACCCATGGATGGAATCCACTTCTGATAATTTCTGTATACGTGCGACACTTCTATTTCTGGGGCCAGTGCTCGATGCATCAATTGATTCCTTCATGCTGTTGAAAGGGATTGAACATGTTTTGGACTGAAAACTAACTATTGTAGGCGTATCGGCATCAAAGCAAACCACAACTACATTTTCTCCATACGCCAGACTAACCACCTGTTTAGGGGCCACTTGATTGACACATGAAAAACCATGACCAGGACTCTGAACCACACTTTTCGGTCTAGCTCGGGAGATCCTCTAAATCAATTGCTATTTGCTCCTATTCATCTACTCCCCCGGCAGCCGATCCTGAGCTGGAGCCTGCTTCCCTTGACACAGAACTGCCGTCAAACTGAGCAACCCGACAGTCTGTCTTCATTACATGTTTGGGTGGAGGTGGTGGCTCACCCACTCACCTTCCGCCTCTCCCATCATCTCCCTATCTTCCTGCCTACCAACCTGTCTGTGTGCCTGCCTGAAAGCCTGCCCGCCTGCCTACCGCATTGCGGGCTTAAGTTCCCTGTCCATTATCATATTCACAGACTCATCATGCCTTGTGTCAGAGGAGCATCTGTCCATGTGTTGTTGCGACTTGTCTGTATCTTGGCAGCTGTGAGAAATGGCTTGCCGCCGAGGCTTAACATGAGCGTTGGCAAGGGCGCTGCCTTCGATGCACACCTCGACGCCCTTTGCCACGAAATTTGATTTCGTTCGTAGCCGCACTGCTAGTCATATTTCTGCTGCTTTCAGTGGTGCATAGCTTTCTCCCTCTCCCGCTCCCGCTTCCTCTCCCTCTCCCGCTCCTGCTCCCGCTCTCGCTCGCTTGCTCGCTCGCTCGCACTTGCCGTCTCTCTGTTGTGCTCCCCCGCTCACCTTCATTCTGTCACACAGCGGACCTGCGAAGCGCCATGGTCTTGCGACAGGTGGGTGTGGCAGAGAAGCCGTACAACCGGAAGTTGTCGCGCTTCACTTGATTTTGCCGAGCTCCGCACCCATGACCTGCTGAAACCGACGTTCCAGGCTTCTTCTGTACTTGAACGATTCTTGGAGGCGTCCCGTTTCAAGCCACCAAAAGTAAAGGGTGCCCTAAGTCTGATGGAGGCCAGCGCTTGGAGGGGAGATTGTTCTCCTTGGGGAGGGGCAAACAGAGGTGCTGTGCCCATCTGAGCCCCAGTTCTTTTGATGTTCTTGTCCGGCCAGGCCGACGCAGCAAAGTCACATCCAGATTCATTGGGGCTTCCGGTGGGAAGCTTTGGACGGACGTACGACATTCCGCCGGCTCGAGCAACTCATGTCGTGCTTGAGGTCACTTTGCCGCCAACAAGTGGAAGGCTCATTGTCGCGGCCTTGTTGGCTTGTGACCTTCAGACACGGGCGACAGCGGTGTGAACACTGGATTGAGCGATTCTTAAGGTTGCTGTAAGCGGCCTAGCCACTCTAGCTGAACCAAGAATCGGAGCGAGCCGGCTTCAAAGCTGGCCGAGTGTCAAGAGACTTCCATTTAGCGCACGCGCCAAGCGTGGCAATGACTCTGGGGGGCAATCTGCAACAAACCTGTTTGCCACGCGCAAATGCCGATTCTCATCTTCTTGATCACCACCTGGGCCCTTTTGCAGAGGGAGCCACATCGGGAGCCTATCCCAGAAGGGAAGGGAGATGCTCCATGCTCCCAACTGTGAATGAGACCATGGGCGGTGAGGACAAGGCTTCGAGGCCCTCCTTAGCTTGATGTTTGGGGTTTAAGGTTTAGCGCTTGAGGGTTAGGGTTTGAGGTTAAGGTTTATTATGCAGTTTAAGGTGGATGGGTTGAGTCGAGGATGCACTTTTCAGATATTGGTTTAGGGGTTAGTTGTATAATCTCGACTCCCTGGCAACGTTTGGAAATGAACGAAAAATTATTTCCGTGATTAATCTGTGAATCTTTTTTGAAGCCAGGAATCTAGAATCTGTGAAATGTTTGTGAATCCTGTGTTTCCAGGTGTCTGGGATCTGTGAATCTTTTGTGATTTTTTGTGAATCCAGTGTTTCTGTCAACAAATCTGTGGAAACATTGCGAAATATGTGCGCAGGCGCAGGCATGATCGATTCGTAATGATCGGGCTGCTGTATAAATATTATAAATACAATATACATAATATTTTCATACATACACGCAGAGACACACATTGTGTCATATGTCAATAGAAAAGAGTGCATTCTGGGGCCCAGAAAGACTGAATCCTGAGGCCAGAAAGAGTGAAAAAAGAGTCAAGAAAGAGTGAATCCTGGGGTCCAGAAGAATGAATCCTGAGGCGAGAGGAATGAATCCAGAAGCCTAGGAAGGATTCCTGCCACCCGCAGAAAGTCAATCCGGGCCATCCATGGATGCGCGCGGCCATGGTGATTAAAGTTGATTCAAGTTTGATTCAAGCCAGGGATTTCATCCTGGCTGTTCCATGGCTGCTCTCTTCTCAGAACGGATCAGTGATTGGATGGTTAAAGGCCTCAGGGCATCATCATGTTTCGTTTGGGCCATGGATGATATCTTCTCAAGACGTCGTCTCAGACACGGAGTACACTGAGCCGCAAGAGTGTCTTCAATCCAACGACATATCCAACTCGCATGCTTGTCACTGATTCACACACTGCCAGTTTTGAAACCGACACTCCGCCGCAGTGCCATCCCTTGCACTTGCGCCAGCTGAATGGAACACCGATCGCGACCATTAACAGGAACGCGACCGCGACAACTTCTAGCATTCTTGCGGATTCTAGCGCCTTGTCTCACCTTATTACGAAAAGCAGCTCGTCAACATGAAACAGCAGGAACAATTCGTGAAAACCGGATACATCATAAATGACTCTTTGAATCCCGCTGAACAATCGCTGTTCAGGAACTGCCCAAACTCGCCGCAAATGTGCGGCAGCAAAGTCGCAGCAAACTCACAACAAATTCGTCTCAAGTTCGCTTCGAACTCGCTTCAAATTCGCGCCAAATTCTCTTCACATTCGCTTCAAACAAACTCGCTTCGAACTCGCTTCAAATCCGGTTCAAATTCGGCAGCGGGGCGACGCGGGTCATCCAAGGATTCACAGATACAACAAAATGTCCTCCAGGGATTCACAGATCCTTCACAGATTCTGAAGCAACATATCAAGCAAGGGTTCATAATTTTTTGATTCCGGTAGCAGGAGAATCACGGATTCTTCGCAGAAATGAATGTTTCAACCTAGTTTTTGGGCTAGGGTTTAGGGCTCAAGGGGGGGTTCAGGGTTTGAAGGTCAAAGAGTTAAGGGGTGAGAGTGTACTTAAGGTTTAGGGTCCGCCTGCCAGGTTTAAGGCTTAAAGCATGGTTGGGATTTCCTTCGGTCCAGATGTCGTGATATCCTTGTAGTCTTTAAGGCGGGTCAGCACCAACACTGATTCCAACATCCCTATCGAAAGCAGCAGATACGATCTCCAGCAACAGTGCTAGGCAGAACAACAAGACTATCAAAAAGCAACCTCAGCGACGGCTGCCGCATCATCAAGAGTACAACACCGACATTAACAGCACAGTCGGCGAAAAAACTTGTCGCTTGGGAACTTCAGATGTCTCCCTGTTTCCCACAAAGCCAACTTGTCGCCTTCGGACGTTTCCCCATCCGGTGCTGATGGGTTCATACAACTGAGGCTTTCTGGTCAGACAAGATCCTGCACAAAGTGAAGGCGATGGTGTTCTGAGCACAGGTGTCATTGGTGCACGGTTGATGCAGGCATCGGAAGTCCTCAAAGGCATGAAGGATTACCGAGTCTCGTACGTAATTTGGCTCTGGCCTCACACCTCCACGTGCACCTGGGAAGGCTAGGGGAGATAGCTAACTTTCAGGCCGCATTACTGCCTTCTCATCTCAGGCTGCTGGGGGAAGAGGAGGTGCAAGATGCGCCCTCCCGCGCCTGGATCGCATGGAGACGCGCTTCGCTTGCCGACGTTAGAGCTTTCCGCTGCAGGTGCAGCAGATACGAGCACGGCAGAGACTGCGTGCGCTTCCAAGCAGACTGCACCTGTACTGCCTTGTCGTACGAGTCGTACGAGTTTGTGCTTCGTTTCTGCTCGAGGCCAACCTGGGCGCTCTAACGTGTGACATGTGTGAGGGCGAGACGAGAAAAGGAGGGCTCTCTACAGCACAGATCCGCACAGCGCAAATTCAGACCTGCAAGCTGCTTTCTCAAGGCTTCAAGGTGTAATGAACAAGATGCCAATGTTCGAGCAATCAGCATGATTCGGTGTGACGAAACATGGGGTTCACTCATTGTCCTCCTGTGGTCCTTCTCATACGTCCATGTCATGTCGAAGCTCTGCCTGCTGGGGCAGTAATGGAGAGTGGTGAGGTGCCCGCGGTGAAGGCACCAAACCTGCAAGACTTGGCAGCACAGGCAAGCTTGTTGCAGCAAGAGATTAAGCGCCAGAAGATTTTGGCACCTCCTGACCTCATCGAGCAGAACAGCTTCCTGCTTCGACAGGAGCAACGACGGTGGCAGGATGCAATCAGTTCCGTGGAACGAGAACCGTCGCATCATGAAGAGAAGCAAGCAGTCTTGAAGGAGTTCCAAGTCTGTAATCGGATGCACAAGGTCATGACAGAGGTAACGAACCTCATCAAGCAACATGCCGAAGGGGAGTCCCGTCTGATTCGAGCAGAGCTTGCTCAGTTGCAGAGCAGAGAAGCCGACGCCCCCAACCAGGAGCTGCAGCGGCAGGTCCAAGAGCTTCAAACGGCAAAGCAGAAGCTGCTTGAGAGCCAGCCCAACGCGGAAATCTCGTCGGCAAACTCAAAGGAGCCGGCAGGAAAGGGCACAGGAGCCAAAGGAGGCCAAGGAGGCAAAGGAGGCAAAGGAGGCAAAGGCAAAGGTCCACCCTTGCCAAGCTCCATGCCCGTTCCGAAACCGAAAGCCAAATGCCAGGTCGAGAAGAAGAAGAGTAACTTGGTCACCCTGTACTGGAGACCACTGCCGGCGAGCGTGGGTAAGATTAATGCTAGTAGCAGCGGCCTACTGAAGCAATGCGAAGAGATGCTTGCAGCGGCATCTGGCATATCGGAAACAAGCTACGACGAAGAGCAGCAGCTTGGAGCAGTATACGATAAGCCAGAGGCTCCGGAAAGCGATAATCTTCCAGAGTCGATGATCGAGGCACCTTGGACTGCAGACATTTGCTTTTCTGTGCCAGAGAGCCCGCAGACCCTTCTGTTTGTCAGGTCTACTTCCAGAGGCGGGAAGCAGCTGTACACCTGGACTCTGAGCCTTTGCTGATCAGACGAGTTGACACAGCTTGGGAGATAACTTGTGAGCCGGCTGTGCTTCTCCGGACCCCGAGGGCAAGTCGGACAAGATCTCCATCCTGGACGAGAAGCAGCGGCGGATGCTTGGCTCTCAGAACCGCTGTGCCTCGCTTTGTCGTTACATTCGTTGGCATTTTCCCCGTCCCTTCACCCAGGTTGGGCATTCTAATGAGCAAGTACCGGATGAAGAACAAAGGTGGGCGCGTGAACGACTCGACAGCTTGTTTGGTGTCTTCGGTGGCTTTGCAGACAGTGATCGGGAGATCGTGGCCATCATGAAGCAGGCAGCGGCGGCCTGAGGCACAAGACCGGCTCGTTGCACTGCTTCCAAGAACGGACTCATCGTCTCATCGTATGCAGCTCCCAGGTACTCAGCTGCAATTACGACGTGCTCAGAGAGGAGGCCACGGGAATAGCTCAAGGGTCTTGAATGCTCCAGACGGCACTTTCACCACGATCAATGCTTCGCCGAGGGTCTCTGCATGCTTCGCAAAGTGATACGAGACCACGCGTTCACGGGGCAACTGCGCCGCAGAAAGGCATGCATGGGCATGTTTCGGACATGGCTCTGACAAGATTCTTCTGATCCGAGGAACAAGATTCGGGAGTTTGTCCAGGCCAATGGAGAGGCAATGGACGCAACGGACAGCCTTCCGTGGCATGCTCGTCAGCCCAGGCGGCGCTGAAGAAGCTGAGAGACCCGTGGTTGCATCGGCTCGTTCACGAAGTGCTCAAGGCAGGAGTCCAAATCTGAGAGACCCAGCCTTGTGTCTCTAGCGGTGTAGCAAGCTTTGTCAGGTACCCCAGATCGAGGAACGGCTTGAATGTATGCTGTTTCAATTGGCTTTCGAGGACCTTTCTAAGTGTCTTCTTTTTCTGGCTTCACGTGAGAGTATCTCCCAGGACGGCTTCACGAAGTGTGCCCAAGACATGGAAACACTTTGCCAGGCATCAGCAGCCTTTGCATTCCAAGTTGAACGGTCCCTGGCTTTGTGCTTCTTTGCACTTTGCAACGCAAGGCTCTCCAAGCATTAAGCGCCAAACAGGTGGAGCTGCGCAGGCACGACACAATCGGGGCCAAGCAACATCTACTAGGAGTTTGTTGCCCTCTGTACGATCCTCCATGCTTGTTCACCACGCCAAGCCCAGCACAAGAGCGTGGATGCCACGAATGCGACCCGCCAGGTTCTTCACACTTGCTCACCGCCTGGGTACCGCTCTGAACAGCAACTGCCTGGTGCCCCCTCCTGCCTCCTCGCCAGTTCCATGAAACTTGCTGTTGTGCTGCTTCTATCATTTCCTGCTTGCGACTGAGAGTTGTGATAGCTTTGCATCCAGACGTTCTGGCTACGAGCCATGTATTCGCGAATTGCCGGTGGGGAGGAGTACCCAATCTGTGCGTCGTTCGAAGACTGTGGCCTGAGGCAGGATCTTTTGCGGAATGTCTACGCCTACGGTTTTGAAAGGCCTAGTGCCATCCAGCAGTGTGGTATACTGCCGATCCTGGATGGCCGTGACGTATTTCTAGAGGGACCGTCTGGTGTAGGGAAGACCACTGCTTTAATCATTGGATGCATGGCTTCGGTGGACTGCTCCTTGAAGAGATGTCAAGCCTTGGTTCTATGTGTAACTCGGGAACTCGCGCATGCGATCCGCCATGTCTTCACCCGCATCGACAGAAAGATAGAGTCTTATTCTCTCGTAGGCGGTGCCTCCGTCAGAGATGATATCCAGGCTCTGCAAAATGGTCAACATCTCATTGTGGGAACACCTGGCCGCAGTCACGACATGATCAGCAGAGGCTTCCTGGACACAAGCACTTTGAAGCTTATCATACTGGACGAATTTCAGGAACTCTTGCGTCGCGGATTTGCAGCCACTCGTTCTGGATTTGTCTCTGCTGTTTGTGTGTGTGTGTGTGAGACTTGTGGCTCGGCAAACAGCTTAGAATTTCGTCTTAGCGGATGTAACGAAATCGAAGGAAGGGAGGGTCATGCTCGGGAGCAACAGTTTGTTTGACCACAACAAGACAAGCCGCAATTTCACGAGGGACGCCCTAATGACTGAATTCGCGACCCACTAAGGGGATGTGTGCTTCAACTCGGCACGATGTTTGGCTTCTGTGTTTGCGTGCAGTTCCACTCTTTTCGCAACTTATCGGTCAGCTGAGGATCAGCTCAGCAGCATTTTCAGTGCCCTTGCCCCAGACATCCAGGTCTGCGCAAACTCCGATACACAGGAGCCGGCCATGTCTGCGATCCCAAAGCTCATGCGGAATCAAGTCGTACTCCGAATGGTGAAGGACCCAGTCACTTTAGAGGACATCAGACAATTCTACTTGGATGTCGATGCGGAGCAGAACAAGCTAGATGCACTTCGTGATCTATTCGAGAACTTGCCAGTTACACAAGCAGTTGTCTGCTGCAACACAAGGCGAAAATGCGATTTTCTCCAGCAGCACAGCACTGTTGTGGCGCTTCAATTACGTGGCTATGCCCTCTTCTCGCTCCATGCAGATCTTGACTCAAGAGAGCGAGAGGCTGCGCTACGGAGCTTCTCTTCAACTTCTAAAGCTGTGCTCCTCTGCTCAGACCTCGTGGCAAGCGCGCTGCCCTCGCTGCCGACGCGAGCAATCTTCATCAACTTTGATCTGCCTAGAGACCGGGAGACCTACCCGCAACGTGTGGGATGTGCGAGAAACCGTGGAGTGGTCATCAACCTGGTAACCCCAGACACCATGCAAGACATGAGGGAAATCGAGGCCTTCTACGGCATAGTCGTCGAGGAACTGCCTTTGGACATTGCAGAACTTCTCTAAGCCCGTACATGGATTACATACCCCTGCTACAGCCTGATGCGGCTGAAGCCTTGGAAGAGGTGTCGCTCATTTATTCTGCCCGTTCTGGAAAGGGATTCTGCTGCTCCGTCCTTCAGTCTCGCCATGGAGGTCACAGCCGACACCAACCTTTGTCTTGGATCTGGGAATCAGAGAAACAACACCCGCCGTACCAACAGACAGAGGCGGACAGATGACCAGGACACTGGATTTACGGCCGCATCGCGACCCCTGGATTTCCTGGAATGTCTAGTTGCCTTGCTTCGATCGGGGGGACCAGCAGGAGCTCAGCCAGGGTAGATTGAATCCGGACGCATCCTGCCGGCACTGCAAGTGAGAGAGTCAGCGCTTCCCAACCAAAGGCAGGGAAAATGAAACTCGCGTTGCGGGGTCCTACGCTGTGTGTGGGGCTTGGCTGCAAGAGAATAGATCCTCGTGTTCTCGCAGGCTCCTCAAGCTCCCAATGGCTTCAGCCTCTCCTCACTCGAGAAGCTGGCCGTTGACTCAGAGTCCGCAGAGTCAAGCGAGTCGCGGCTGACCAGCGTCAATTCGCCCAGATCCAGACCAAGTCGACAGCTTCGCCCAAGGCTCATCAGAAGATTGCGGAGAATTTCAGATGTGTCGCTGTTGTAGCAGGACCTAGGAGCTTCAGCTTGAAACTATGCCAGCCGCTAGCCGGTTTTGTCAGCACAACATGCTGCACTTCGTCTTGGCCATGATGACACCCTCGGTCGCAGCAACGCTCTTCACCGACACGGTGCTGGTCTCGGACTTTCGCCGGTACAGCAATGAAGTCAGTGAGCAGCCATGCCAGGATATCAAGCTCCTGGCCAAAGCCAAAGCAATGAAGAGTTTTACCGTGTACCAGGACACGCGTGCCGCATCGTGCCGCGTGGCCAAGTGACTCGGGTGTCCACAGGATTGCACTGAGCTCACGCAGGGCTTCCAGGCAATCTGCCAGATATGTCAGACAGGCCCTGATGTTGCAGCAAGTCATTCGTGATTGGTCGTGATGATCCTTGGGATGAGGCAGGTATCAGAACACCACGACGGGAGAGAAGGTGAAAATGGAGCGGAGGTTGGGAGGCTGGAAGGTCGTGGCATCACTGCTGGCAGCAGTGCCAGGAGGATGACCAAAGCTTCCAGAGATGAGGCTGAGGCCCAGCAACCGCCGTGGCACAGCTGTGCAACTGACGTTGATGCATAGGAGATGATTGATGACAACGACACTTTCCACAATGCCATGCAGGCCGAGACTTCCTTATTAGGTTGGCTGCAAAGAGCCTGCACTTGGCTCCAACACACGTGTGTTGGAGGCCTTTGTCGACAAGTACGAGCGCCAAGTTGCAGCCGTGGAGCAGGGCTGCTATTGCTCCTTCATCATGTACAAGGACGTGTACAGTAGGAGCTGTGCTTCGATGTGGTCATAGGATGGCGCAGTGACCTGCAGGAGCAAGCATTGTTCCTCGGCGATCTGTCGGTGTATCCTCCGCCGAAGGAGGATCAGGATGGCAAGGCTCGTGGCTTGAAGCGTTGGCGCGAGTCGCACAAGTCCTCCAGACAGGCCGATCTTGTGGTCATTATGCACAGACTGGCCGTGTCTCTCGGTAGCAATCAAGACTTGAACTACCTCCTGCCTTTGTCTTCATTTGACACAGGCAGGTGCGACGACATGCTGAAGAAGTGGAGCAGGAGCTGGGGTGACTTGATTTGTGATGAGGAACAACGTGCATGCCAATGCCCAGAGCCATTGGCTGAAGCTTGCAAAGAATTCCTGAGCATTCAAGGGACCATCACTGAAGTACCAATCATCTCTCACATTTTCGCGAGCCCGCTCTGTATTAAGAGTCCTTGAAATGCAAAAAACTCTGCAATCGATCCAGTATTGCTGGGGTGATTCGCAGATGCCAGAGCCGGACGGGGTTGCAAAGTAATGCGGGCATCTGCTCAATCCGGGGCCAGGCTCTTGGACCCGACCACTTAGATGAGACAAGGATGTGACCGTAAGCTCTGCACAGCTTCGCACAGCTTCGCACTACCAGGTCTCTGGCACTAAAGCCGTCACCAGGCCTCGCGTCAATCCAGAAATCTGCACAGCGACTGTGCAGACATGTGCAGGTCACAGAGGGCTGCCTCGCGTAACGCAAGGCGAGGCTCTGCGAGGCTGCCCGGACCCACCAGGAGCAGCTTGCCAGGCCTGCTGCAAGGCGCTCGGACGCTCATTCACAAGCCGAGTCGGCCACTTAGAGTCCATGCATCTTCGCTGCGATGCAGAAATCGCAGATCCAGGCTCAAGGCGCGCCGCTCCGAGCCAGAAGTCTTCTGCCAAGGCTGCCAGTGGAAGCCCGGCGTGAGGGGAGCTTAAGTCGCTTAGGCTGTACCTCCAAGTCTCGAAGCCGACGAGGCTGAGACCTGAGAGGAGGATCTTGAAGGGATGGCATATGACGGCGCCAGGCAACCGTGGCCCTGCTCCAAGCATCATGTTGGCTGCCAGATGCCATAGGCTTGCTTGCCTGGTCCCAAGCGAATGCGGCGAACGACAAGCAGATGCCAAGATCGGCTTTCGGTGCAAAGCTGAGGTCCGGAAGCCGTTGTCAGAGTTGCGGGCCGAGTTACGTGTGGAGGCCGCGGCTGTCAAAAATGGGCATCGCCAGGGCGAGTTCTTGTCAAGATGTTCGCAGGAGGAAGAGCATTCGCCAGCGTCTTCTGGCTACTCGTTTTGATGGGAGCAAGATCAGTAGAGATCTGTACATAACGCCCGGCAGCCGAGGTTCGGGAAGCTTGATGGCGTTGTCTGCTTTTCTTCGTCGGACACTGCAGGACTGGAGGGCGGGTATAGATCGGCATGAAGGCGCGAATCGAAGATGTCCGCGTACAGGCGCTGCTGGACTTGCAAGAGGCTTCTCATGGCTCTCAGCGGCACGGCCGAAGGATAGACAGCCAGCACAAATTAGCAGTTTCTGCGCCTGTTTGCCAAGGGCGGTAGCTCTTCAGGAAGCGGACGTGGTGGCCCCAGCAGTCCTGCCGTCGCAGGGGACAGATTCAAGTTGCAGGTCATGATGCAGTGGTTGGTGCGCACCAGGGAAGAGCGCGGGCCCTGATCGAAACTAAGCCGTCCATGCAAAAGACTGGCAACTGAGGCTTTGCATCTGGGGTCCTGCTGGCGCAGTCACCGTCCGTCCGTCCGTGGCACCGGCATGTCGTTTGATCGTTTCGCCAGGGCAGCGGGCCGGCAGAGCTCTCAGGGCTCTGGTGTGGCCCTCGAGTGTTGGGACTTGGGAAGACGTCCTTTTTGGAGTCCTTTGTAAGGCTGGATCTGAGCTTGGCATCCAAGAGTTGGTGCCTGACAGGGTGAGAGCGTCTTAGAGTCATCCTCTTGCTGCGCTGCAAGGCTCGGAAGCCAGCTGCAAACTTTCATCCGGGTCAGGGCTTCGGGGCCGAGCCAGAGCTGAGCGGCGCGACCTGCGGCGGCCTTGCGTGCACTTCAGGGCTCGATGGTGGAAGCGATGAAGCAGGGCTCCTCTCAGTTTGATCAGGACTGGTGGTGCTTCTTCGTAGCCCTTTTGCATCCCTTTGCAACACCTCACTCAACACTGTCTTAGCACGGCGCAGGAGCTCGCACAGCTTCGGCAAGAGCTACAAGAAACACGAAGCCTGAAGCCAAACTGCGACTTCCAAGGGTCTGTTCCTCTCAGTTGGATGTGTTGCCTCCGATCCCCTTTGCAACTACGGAAGAGTCGATTTTTGCATGTGCAAGGTCTAGCAGCAGCTGCTGCGGCAGAAGCACGGAAGCAGGAGGCCATCGCCGTGACAGCCTCGGCGACCAACTTTCGGGCATTAGCATCCGAACTTGAACATGTTTCATGAGGTGGCAAATGAAGGTTCCTTCTTGGCGAAGTCATTGGAGCAGCTCGACCAGAAATTTCAGGAGATCCACCTAGTGGATGGGCTTGAAGTCCTAAACACAGCAGATTCGCCGATGCCTGCATGCAGGACCACATCAGCGCTGAAGGGTGCAGGCTTCGAGAGGCTCGAGCTCCGAGAGCTTAAGCTGCCTTGGCTTTGGCGTGGACTTTCCACAGGAAGTCAGCCGCAGCAAAGCTCAAGTCGTCGGAGAACTCGCAGAGCAGCAGCATGAAAATGTCACGGTCTGAAATCTCTGGGGTCTTGGCACCCGTATTGAGCTTGCCATGTCTTGCCCAGGTGCAGCAGCTCTCGAAGCTTTGGGAAGCGCAGAACCGGCAACGAGATCGTGAGCTGCAACTGCTGCGGCAGCATGCAGAGAGTGCAATGGTGGAAATGCGGTCCTCCGTCGGATCAGCCGAGCTGGCATACTCCAAGGCGACACAACCCTTCGTTCTGGGTTGTCGTGGATGTATTCTCTGACAGGCTTCCGCTGAGCAAGCCGTGGCTGCAGCCTTAAAGTCCGCACAGCGGAAGTTTGGTGCTGATCGCACGTGGCAGGTTTCGAAGGTGCTCTCCGAAATGCAGGCAGAGCGACAGGCACATCACAGAGAGCTGGCCAGCAGCTTAGACAGAAAGTGGCGTAGTGGCACACGCCAGCGGTGTACCGGGTCCGCATCCAGGAGCTTGGGCAGCGCGATCGTGAGGCTTTGGCGTATTGCCCTCAGGCCCTCAGGCACATGCGCTGTTGAATTATGATAGGTATGTCGTCGAGACCGTTTTGCGCTCCTACATACCCCCCATGAGGTTGCAGCTGACGGAGGTCCAGTGCTTAGCATCAGTAGCCTTGAGCGAGCGAAGTTGCACTGTCAGAGGCGACCCGGCAGAGCCTTCAGCTGAGGCCGCGGGATCCTAAGAGTCGAGTCGGGCGGCCAGAGAGCCGCGTCGCTGCCAGGACGTCGCTCAACGACCAGGAGTGGGCCCGGCCGAAAGCTGAGCGCCGGTCACCAGCCGAGCGAAGCAGCCGTAAGCGGCCCAGGCCAGAGCCTGTTCAGACGCTTATGACCCCTCTTGCTCGTTCGGGTCTTCGGCCGCTGGTGCCCCAAAGAACCCGAGCGCTTCTTGCCGAGCGAATCTCGCGCTGTCAGAGGCCCTCCACGGAGTCTTCCCCGAGGCCAAGGCCAAGGTCTGAGGCTGAGAGCTCTTTGCTCTCTGGCGTCTCGAGCCAGGCCGCCAAGGGAACCAAAGGGAGCGAAGGAAGATCGGCTGGCACAAGAAGATGGCTCAACCTCAGTGTGCCGTGTGAGCACTGAGCCTTGGCCCTAGCCTAGTTTCCTCAGGATGTTGGGAGATTCTCATGGGCTGCAAAGGGAGAGTGCGAACATGTTAAAGATTATAGGAGTCTAGAGTCTAGAGTTCCTTCACGCGAACGCCGGAGCGTCCTGTCTCGGCCCACCTGCACGTGCATTTACCACGAAGTACTTCTCTTGCAATCCTGCTCATGAGGAGGAAAATTCGCTCCCGACCTTCCAGCTGTAACGGGCTCCTTTGTCCGATACAATCCCATGGTATCCAGCTCTCACGCCCAAAAAATCTCCGACAACTGCCTCATCCCTTACAGATTCCGCAGGATCTGGATTGATACCCAGTTGGGGCATTTCCCCTGCGCACGAACTGCATGCTCAGGTGAGTCACCCGCGGTGGTATTAGTGCAAACATAATTTGTCTTCCTGCCGATATCGCATCCTGTGGCATGGCTTGCTAGAACGCCAACGTCCATGTCCGAGCTGTCTCTGCCTGATTGGATATACACTCGCTATATCGGGATGCCATGACGACGTGGACGCTGTTCTGTATCGCATGCAAATTTGCGCTGCACAGAGTGGAAACATCTCGGAAGGAAATGAGATGCATCGAGAGCGTTTGAGCAATTTGGGGACCGGGAATGGCGGCATCGTTGTCTGGGGTCCATCAGCACCTCTCGCCTTGGTTGTTCGGTCGGTAGCGAAGCAACATCATGGTTGTGCAAGCATCATGCCAGAGCGGCGTATTGCCTGCGAGCAAACCATGCCATGCCGCCGGAGTTGAGCGGTTCCCAGGTCGGTTTCATTTCGCCCAGACACACAGCCCCGGCGAAGGGTGCTGGAGGCGCGAAGCTCAGCCTGCGCCTCGAAGCATGCCGAAGCCCCGCAAGAAGGAGAGACCTGGACCTGATGCAGTGCAGGCATCGGCATGGGAAAGCCAGACTGCCAGATAGAGTTGAAAGCCACGCATCCAGCACTCGTTCCCTCATGCTCTGGAGCCAGGGCACGGACAAAGCGCGGGCGACCTAGAGCCTGATCAACTGCGAACGTGTGTGTGTGTGTGTCGGAGTCTTCTGCTGAGGCCGGCAGTGGCTCCATGGGATCTTGCCTCGGATCAGAAGATTCTGGAGAGCACACATTGAAGGTTCGAGTTTTGTGTTTTGTTTTCGTGGGCTCCTGACCATTACTTAGGAATTACCGCCAAACGAGTTTCTCTCCATTTGGCGCCAGTCTCAGGCATGGTCTCCACCTGTGCCATGTCCCATGTTCCAAGTCTTTTGGAGTCCATCAGCAGAGACACTGCTCTTCTGGTCTTGTGCAGGCCACGGCAACTGCGTCAGGTTTCAGGCGAAGCGCTGAGCACTGTGGCCTGTTGCGGGTCATCACTGAAGCGCGTTCGCCCGGTGTTTGCAATTGGCAGGGAAGGCGTCATTCATAGCTTGGACGCTGAGAAGGCGGTCCCAACAGAAGCTGGTAGTCGGGGAACTGGCGAAGAAACGATCGCCAATTCCGCTGCAGGACAGAAAGATTGGTGCACACCACAGTACTGAGACACTGCGAATCACCGCGAGCTGGGATTGACCCTATGCTGTGGAGAAAGTCTGCTTGTCTGCGGCTTTACGGCAGCGCCATTCAGACAAGTGGCGCTCAGATGGTGCATCCTTCACTTCATTTGCCCAGCTTGCCGGTTTGCAGGATGGGCTGCGGGAAAGTTTGGCAGCAACATGTGAACGTGGTGGTGCCTAATAGCCATTTGGTCTGACGGGGAATCTATGCTGGTCTCCTGCCTGGGCAGGAGTGTTTCTCAATTCATAATTCAAGCTGCGCATGCAGTGGTATGCAGAAAGAGGCGGATGAACTGCACTTTTTCATCGCCTTGCGAAAAAGAAGCGGCGGCCTAAGGCGGCTCTCGTGGCTTGCCTCCGATCCTGCAAACTGTCGCCTTGCAGACTCTTCTGCTCTCTGAAGTCTTTGAACGGTCAGCCACTGCTTGACACCCCCGTCTTTCTCTTCCAGCTGTCGGACCAGATTATGGGGCCCACCTAGAAAGAGAAGATAGAGAAGCTCTGCAAGCCGCGGACCGTTGCATGTTGGACTCCGCAAGCGTAGGTTTAGTTGGTTTCTTCGCCACTGTTGTTCCGAGCAAGTTTTGTGTGATTTATGGCAAAAATATGGTATTAGGCACCGTGCTGCAGCAAATCTGTGTCAGATAGACGGGCAATTGCAGACCTTACTGGCCATCTCTGGCCATGGGGGAGACACCCTGGCGGATGCACAAGGCGTGCGATTTCAGCATACTTACTAACATCTTCGCAGGTCAGGCGAGAAGGACTTTGATTTGCGCCTAACATCGCTTCTTTCACCTCCATGCGCATCATCCGCACATTTGCACTGTACCTAGCCGCATCAGAACATGCTTCTGAGCCGAGTGTCTGTTTCATTCCTGTCACCTGTGAGCACCTGTGAGGCATTGATCACGCTGCTCGTGTTGCCGAGCTGCCGCGGTTCCGGCTGCATTTGGAGTCTTTTGGAGCAACTGGAGACGGCCAGGCTGCCTTCTTGTGCAGCCTATGGGGCCCGGCGCCCTGGAAAGTGCGTTTTCAAAAGGGGGTCGAAGAGGCCATTGCAGCTCATCAGCCAAATCTGCGCTCTCGATGGTAGCAACTCGAGTCTCCAGTTTGTGATTTGCGCTCTGACTCTGTGACTCTGTCGTCCAACAAGTATCCTCTGTGATTGCTTCTTGCTTCTTCCTGTGCAGGTGTGCTTTGCCTTGACGTGAAGGTCTGAATGTGATTGGAGCTTCGTGTTTGATTTGAATAGTCTACAAGCTAAGGGTCCAACGAAGACACTCGCACTCCATGCCCTCTATGCCACTGTACTGATGCGGCAGCCGGACGCCTGCAGCAAGAAAGGCAAATGTGCCGCACAGGATTTACGTGCCACGCAACTTTCGCACAAAACTGGGCGGCATTAGTGCTTGGCGTTGCCTTTCCCAAAGACCTTCCATGAACAATGTGCTTTGCTCCCGGCTTTCTTTGTTGTCATTCGGTCGGACTGGCGATTTCCCGCGAATCTCCTCAGCATGTTAACTAGTCGGTTGAACCCAAGCCTTTTATTCCTGAAGGCACCCAGAACCCCAAAGGGTGAATCATCTGCAGACGTCCTAATGCATTGCATCCTCGGTCACCATTCGTCAAAGCATGACAGGTCAGATGTCTTGTGCAGAGACTTGACCGTTCAGCCCTTGAGGATAAATGAGAATCCCATTGTTCACAGCGTTTATCGACTGTCCAGTTTTTGTAGCATGCTGGGCCAATGAAGTGCCTTGGCTCGTCGTAGATGTTTCGCCAATACAATATACTGAGACTATTGCGCGCTAGTGCAATTGTCCACTCGTTTCGTGCAGCTCGGCAGCTTTATCAGCATGCCCAAACGCCGAATTTGAGATTAGACGTCCTGTTGCTATTCAATGTCACCATCAGGAAGTCCCTCGTCTGGCTCTTGAACAGCCCACACCAGCATTGTCAAGGTAGATGCATGCAACATCACGCAACCTTCTGTTTCTATGTTCGTGCGTCACGACGCTACCAGATTCAGAGCTGCGAGGGATCCCCGCCTCGCCCAGCTCAACACCGAGTCATCACTTCGCGCTCTCTGCGGAATTGAATTGCAAAGGCTTACGTAATGTCGGTGGTTCTACACATCGTCGCCAGCCCGGCTTGAATCCGGCAAGCAGCTACAACAAGTGAACCTGTCTGTGGGGTCGCGGCCATCCGAGTACTCTGCGCAGGTCATCATTGCATCCGCTCTTTCACATATCTCCTTGGCTTTCGCGACCGCATGACCCGTCCTGCCATGGTTTGACCACAGAACAGTATCGATTGCAGGGATTGTTGTCTGTGGGTAGCTTCGGGCGGCTTCTGGTCAAAACCTCAAAGCGGTTCGGTTCTACTTAATTTGCAGGGATCTGTATTGTGAGTAGATGTGATTGCAACTTCCCGAAAATGCTTCTGGTGAAACTGGACGCAACACTTTGCCGGCTGAGATGACAACTTGTTTTGCCTCAAGTAGTTGGAGGCGATGTAACCTGTTAGTGCCCGCATCTTGCAGGAAGACGTGAGCACGCGAAGCAGTGCACAGGTGTGATGTCTGTCTGGATGTAGTGATGCTTGTGACAGCTTGTGACGACCTCTCCAGATAAACGCTCGGGAGCGTGATGCCCATCATCCATGTAATCCCCATGAGCAGCTACCAGACAGCTTGTGAAGATGCCGATCTATGCAAAGGAGTCTTCAAGAAAAGTTGCCTTGGACTGTCTGTAGTGTCTGTCTGTCTGTCCGTCCGTCATTCAAATTTGCTCTATGATGTCCGCCACTCAGCAAGCCATGCCTCGCAGCTAACTCCTCTGAGGGCGAAAAGAAGAGCAAGTTCTTAGCGGCGTACCCCATGGCCTTCATCTTAGTCCGTGATGCTTTTGCCGCGATCCGAAGCGGTCAGTGTTACAAGCGCTTCCGGCCCGAGGTTTTCAAGTTTTGTCTGTTTTGGTGGTGCGTCTTCGTTTTTGCGGCCAGCAGCCTAGCTCGGGTTCGAGACAGGAGAGACTGAGACATCTTACTCTGAGGTCATGGCGGTCTACATTGCGGATCACCTGCTGTACCGGAAGTTTGGCGCCGCCAAGGTCGCCAGGTGCACAGAGGAACAGCCGCACGGTCAGAGAACCCGTTCGTAAGCTTTTATCAGTCCTGTAGGTCTGGAAAGCCGAGCACTTTTTCAAGGGGGCATCGCGCGACTTTCTCGGCTTGAGATGTCTCCGCAAATCAATCCCAATGAAAGCATGGGCTTAGGCGAAGAGTTTTGGGCACAGTTCGCAGATCCGTCACGGTGGTACCTGCAGACCTGTTTGGAGAATTTCAGAAGAAACTGCGCATTGTATCATGACATGTGCCAGGTCACCGGAACACCCAGCCGACTCCTCAGATGGAGCTGCAGGCATTTGCTGCATTCTCGGGCATGGTTTCGTTTCCGCTCGAGGTATTTCAAACAGCAGATGTTAGCATGATCCGTTGCGAGTCCAAAGAGTTGCAAGAGGAGGTCCCTGAGGGTCTCTGCAGATTGGGCGTGAACTCTCGACTTGGCTCTCATACCGTGACATTCGCGCTGTCCTCCGCGAGGATGCCGCACCATCTCAAGATGAGGCGCCCTTCGCCAATCCTAGAAAGAAGTGTGAAACCGTGAAGCCCGGGGCCCGAATTGACTGGCGCAGAGGATATCAAATGTTTTTCCTGGTAGAGAAGGCAACGTCAGTGCTCCATCTTTTAGCAGCATGCAGCATGATTCCTCCTGGGGTTGTTAGTTTTTGGCTGGCACTCTCCCGCCCGGCGCCCCGCCACCACACATGCCCTGATGAGCCCTTCCCAGTAATTATGAGGACATGTGCACATTTAATAACATCTATGTATCTATGTATGTATGCATGTATCTATCTATCTGTTTGTCTATCTGTCTGTCTGTCTATCTACTTGTCTATGTATAAGAAATTGCATGGTCAGCAGTCCCTCCGTCAGTCCATCCATCCATCCATCCATCCATCCATCCATCCATCCATCCATCCATCCATCCATCCATCCATCCATCCATCCATGTGCATACATACATGCGCCAGTTTGCGATATGTGTGTGTGTCTTATCCCGCCGACGCCCTTTTAAACAAATTATCCAGCTTACCCTCACCTTGTTGAGTCCACTATAGCGTTTTGGGCTGTAGCGATTTACTGGGTGAGTTTCCTCCTAGTTCTTTGCACTCTACACTGCAGTGTGACCAGAGCTTTCCGGATGCCAAGGCTTGGAGCCCTGAAGGTGGGTCGTCGGCTGAGGCAAAAACCGGAGAGAACCTGCGGACGGTTTCATCAGGCGGGGGTTTCCGAGGCCTCGGCATGGTCCTGAGACACAAGGCCGATAGCGCCAACGTTCGGCCCTTGGTTGCCTGGTTTTCTGGTTTTGTTGAGACAGATGCTTGCTGCGCTTGCTGCGCTTGCTGCTGTCAAGGCTGGCTCTTTCTTCTGCACGCGGGAATGTACGGAGCTGGAGGCCAGGTGCAGGTGCTCTATGGTGCTCTGCTCTGCATTGCTGTGGCATTTGGTGAATCGGCAGGAGCCTTTAGAGGGATCCTTCCGACTGGTCATGCAGACCGTCGAGGCTTTGCTTCTGCCTTCAGTTTGCGGCAGAGCAGGTGAGCAGTTTGCGCGAGGCGGGCCTGGGCTATCCCTTCATGGAAGACTCTGAGATCTCTGAGGCCACGCGTCTGGCTAGGCCGAAGTTTCATCAACTCGTTTAAGCTCAGGTCGAGATCTTTCCACCTTCGGCGGTCTGCGACCCGGGTCATCTTGTTTGCAGTGTGGATAGCTATTCGGGTCCAGCACCACAGAGCCCAGGACGGCACGATCAGGTGCAAAATGATAGGAGTGGCTGAAGTCACTTCTCGCATCTTCCGGTGGCAGCTGGCTCAGAGGGCTCCGAGGGATGCGAAGGTCCGGGAGCCCGAACCAGAGCTGCACTGCGCGCAGGTGGTCGGGATTGCAAAAGGACTCCCAAGAGGCGGCGATCGCCTTCCTGCAATCGATTGAGAACGAGGCCTCGAAATACACAGGACAGACGACATCGCAGAGAGGTGCCCGCTGTCACTGCAGGTTGCTGCACCAAAAGTTAGGAGCAAAAGCCTCTCCCAGCAATGAGGCTGAAAAGTGAGTGCCGCAAAGCCATGCAAAGCCTGCACTTTGCTCAACAGCTGATGCAGCCAGTCTACCTACCCGGCCTGCTCGGCTTACGGCTCATGTTTCCGGCGTCTCGAAGCAGAGTTGCACACTGCACCCCAGCCACCAGTGGCCACCAGTCCCCAAAGTCAAAGTCGTCACCGAATTCCTCGCTAAACGGGATGGCTTGCCGCTGAGCTGAGCCAGGCCTGGCCTGAGGCCATTGCGCGTTGGCACTGCCTCACCTTGGGATGCTCCGCAAGGTCTTCGTGCGATGAGCAGCGATGATGTGTCTCTCACAGCACCACGTTGCTTTTGCCAGGCATGTAATGGATGTTTTTCCATCGGGGCCCCACCTCCCACGAACTTGAGCCCTCCTCAGTCTGTCCACGACGTGTATAAGGTAGCGGTACACGCAGCCGTCGCAAGCTCAGTTGCAGCTGGTTCCTCTGGGGAATGGGAGCACTTTTCAGCCAACTTTGGCAGGCTTTCCTTGCAGCAGCTGAGAAGGGCATGCTGGAAGTTCTGACAGCATGCTTTGTACGGAGTCCCTTGAAGTGTCGCATGGAACGCTATCGGCCAAAACTTTGCTCTTGACCTCGCCAGGTTGCTCGGCGACACCTTCAAGGCTCAAAGCAGCGTGAACTTGGCGCCAGATGGGGATGCTATCAGATCGGTTCGAGGCCGGCACCGTCGAATGATCGTGTCATCAGTTGATGGCCATGGTAGAGGCAGGGTTTTCTCACACTTCTCAGACTCCCACGACTTTTCGGCAGGGCCAAAGCGGCCACCAGGAGCCCTCCTGATCTCCCAAATGTTTTTCAGGTGCAGTTCACTTGGCCGCGCGAGCAGGCCACAGCGAGGCACTTTGCACAAGGGGATGCGGGAGGGATCCGAGTCGACAAGGGACACTGGGAAACGGAGAGGCTTTCTCTTCTCAAGCAGACGAGATCGAAAATGGAGTCAAGCGATCTGCTCCCGAGCTCCAGCTTGGGGCAGACCCTTGCAGCCCTGTGCTTCGCGGACCTTCTGCAGGCCACCAGCTGCAGCCGAAAATGGCTCCAGCTTGGGGGCGAGCTGACGCAGCTGCCCGCTTTTCTTGCGCCAGCGACGCCGGCACCGGAGATGAAAAGGGCGGTGCAGTCTCTGCCGGTTCTGGCAGTTCGGTTCCCGCAGCTCCGGCCGGAGGTCTCAGCTGTCCTGACCGACTGGAAGCCGAGTCATTTCCGTGCATTGGACTGGGGCGGGCACCTGCTTCGGCGAATGGAAGTGCAGCTGTCCGAGGGTGTTGGGGAGCATGAGCTTTCTCACATCCTGAAGCACTGCCCTAATTTGTTGTATTTCCAACTGTCAGACTACGACCTTGTGGCGCAGAATGTCTCTGGCAATTTCTTGAGGGACCTTCCGAAAGATCTGGTCGAATTGAGGTTCTGGCAAGACATCCGGCTAAGTGTCTGTAACTGTCTCTATCTGTTGCATGTCTGCGCTTTCCCGGCTCCCCTGAGGCTATGCCTGCTTCGTGATCTGCAAGATCGCAGCTTGAAGGTGGCGGTCAAATCAGCTCCGAATCTACGATCGATTCACCTGGAGGGCGTTGACGAACTTACAGATCATGGCATCGGTGAGCTGGGTGTGCTGATGCTGCGAAAGCTTTCTTTGGTTTTCACTGCCCTTACAGCATCTCCACAAATGTCAGAGGCGACCTTGTTGCGGATTTTGAACAGGAGCTGTCAGGGTCTCTCTGAAGGACTGGAGGTTTTTCAACTCTCTCAGCATGCTGGGCCACCGCTGGTTCTTTCTGCTGAAGGTGTGAACTTTGCCAAGAGCCTTGGAGCGCATGGGAGGTCGTTGCGCATTCTCACTTTGTCCGGCGTGGTGGAGCTCGGCGACACGGCCTTTCAACTGCTGGCAGCTTCATGTTCACAACTGCGAGAGCTATCTTTATATAGACCGGGGCACCAACTGTCATCGGCCGGACTGCAGGAAGGTTTGAGGCAGCTTTCACTGGAGCATGTCAGCCTTGGCTGCGTCGCAGACTTTGCTGGCGCATTTCAGGCGATCCGAGTTGCAGGGCCTGGGCTCGAGTCGTTTGAGATGATTCGGTACTTTCGCACTGCAGCAGACGAGTCTGTGCATTCTGTTTTGCAGCAGATACGCAGTGGTTGCTTGCCCTCTTTGCGCTCGGCAACCTTCCGTGGGACATTCTCCTCTGAGCAGGTTGCTGCTTGCCATCAGAGCACGGCAGATGACCTGTGGGACAACCTGAGCTGGGAGCAGCATGACGATCAGACCTTTTCGATCAAGTGGCCCATAGCATGTCTGGATGAGTGTGTCACTGTGGATCTGCAAAGATGCTTCAGAGAGAGCGATTTCGGGTGAGGTCTTGCGGACCAGACCGGTGCAGAAAGTGCTGATCAACGCCTAGAAATCCGGGTTTTGAAGGGGCCTTTGACATTTGAAGTAAGTGTAGCGGTGTAGCGTGCAGAGATATGCAGAGTTTATTTTTTGTGTAGTGCATTCATTCATGCGTGTAGGAACAAACGGAGCACTTTTTGGTCGGATCGATCGGCAGTGGCGCCTTGCCGGGCGGTGAAGGGGACCATGCCGGGACATCCCAACCCGGCGATAGGTGCCACATCCACCAAAGCCTGAGCCTCGGCCGCCCCGTGCGCCGCGGAGAGCGTTCTCGATCTTCGGGCGACAACGCCCTGATGGCGGCGGTGAGCACCTCCACCGAAGCCTCGGCATTGAAGGCGCGAATGAAGATCGCACCATCAGTTTGGACCGCCGCGTCGCGATAGGCGAATGGGCTCGAAGGGTCCATGTCCGAAGCAGGCGATGCAGGCGCTCTCGGCTCGTCGCTGACCATGCCGGGGGTGCCACCACCAAGTCCCGAAGGCGGCCTCAATGGTGGTGGGCGCAGACGAGCCTGACGAAGCCATTTTCGATGGGTTGGGCCAGCCCGTCGTGGCTGCCTTGGTCAAGCCGTCGCCTCCGCCGGCGGCAGCGTCGTTCTCGGCGGCTGCGTCTTGGGGTGGCCCCGCCGGTCAGTCAAATCGAGCGGGAGTTGCTGGCCCAGTTCGCCGATGAGGATTCGATGCCAAAGCCCAAAAACCTTTTCCCTGAGGGGCCCGGATGCCCATCTGGTGGGCAACGAGCTGGGCCCGGACCACCGCCTTGGCACGCCCACTGCGTCGGAGGACACACCCGCCGGCCCAGTGCCCTTTAACGGACCGGCGTGAACACGGCCTCGCCTTGGAGGAACACATCAACGCCGTGTCCGCCGGGTTTTCGGGAGCTGCCCGAGGAACAGCCTCGAGCCAATGTTGCCGGCCACTACAATCGTCGATTGGGCGGCTGCCCTCACGCCCGGTGCCTGCCCCCATCTGCTTCCCGCCCGCCGACTACGGGGCTGCCTCAAAGGCACCTCGACTGCGATCAGTGCCCCTCACGACAGATTCAACTAGGCGTCGGCTACGTCTTCCTAAATCCCCGTCTTCTTCCTGTTCTTCGTCAGCCTCGCTGTCAGGGGCGTCGTTTCACCGACAGATTTCGCCGGGAGGTGGCGGTCAAAGGTGTGCCCCGCCCGCTCCGCATAATACTGTCCATTGGCTGTGAGCCCTTACCTTGGTAGGGTAGGGCCGGTTGTGGCTGACTCCCCACAGACCGCCGCTTTACGCCTACAGGCATCTGAGGTTGTTTGGGGGAACGGGCTAGCACGTGTCCAGGCAGACATCCACGCCAATACTATCGACTGGGTGCCGGCTCTCCCCTCTTGTGGTGTTGTTGCGGTCCTGGTCCTAGGAGTGCCCCAGCCCCAGACGCTTAGCTTCGGTCGTGCAGCCTGCTCCCGTCTCGCCCCCTCTGCGTGCGGTTTAACCTGGCCCAAAGGCGGTCCCTCGGCGGACAGGGCGGGCCAGTCGCACCTCCCCACCTTGCTGCGTGCCGGCGTCCGGAACATCGCCGGGCTGACGTTGTGGAAGTCCAGCCGTGGAGGAGATCCGGCCGACACCAAACGGACCAAGAAGACTTACGCCTCCGGGCTTCGCTCCTGGAACAAGATCGCCTCAGAGTCGTCCCTTTTGGCCCATCAACGCTCAACTACCTCGCCGCGTGAACACCTGAGACCGCATTCAGGAAGTGCGCGGACTCGTCCTTGGAGCGAGTGCCTCCGTCCTGCCGGCAACTGCAGGATCAAGTCGGGCGCGAAAACCAGGCGCGAGTCGACGAGCTCATGCAGGAGACTTGCCTGGGCAGGGTCGTCGGTTTTTGGAGTCCCTGTGCGGCCCCTGACCACTGGTGAAGACGTCGGCGGTCCCCTCGGTGGCCGACTGCTCCAACCTCCTCTGGGCGATTGCTTCGCCCCCTTTCCTTCACCATGTGCCAGGTGCAGGTGGATGAGCGTGGGGATGTGAAGCTTCGTCGCGGCGAAGATAGGCGCTGCTCGGGCCACAACGCCGCCACGGTGGCCTCCGACTTGATACGGCGGGCCTGGTGGCCCGATTGTCTTCGGCCACGACCTCCAGAACACCTACCGCCAGTGGGCGGTCAAGCACCCAGGTCTGCGGGACGTTCCTCAACCAGTGTCACGTGTTGTGGTTCCACTTCGCCATGTGCTTCGGGGCGGCAACCACAGCGTCTGGAACTTTAAGCAGGCGGCTGTTGCGGTGCAGGCTCGCCCGGGCGATCCTGCTGATTCTTCTTGGCCACTTCGTCGACGACTCCGGTGCCGACTTCGCTTTGCTCGGCCTCCAGACCCGCCAAAGAGCATGTGGTCCAGGGCGTCGACCTCTCCCTGAACCCGAGGTGGTCGTACTGCGGCCACTGCGAAGCACCAGGCCCGCATCTTGACATTGCATCCGGCAATCGGACGTGGCTTCGTGCCTGGCGCGGGTGCCTCACCTTCTTGTCCCAGGCTATTTGGATGTACGGGCCGAGCCGCCATCAAGCCGCTCTACTCCAGGGGCGGCGGACACTGCTGCCTACTCGGATGATGCGCTGTTTCTTGGATGGAGGACTCATGGCCCTTCGCCATCGGTGGCCGAGGCTCGACCCAGAGTCGTGCCGCTGGGCCCTTCCCAGTCCTTTTTGCAAAAGCCTTTTCCCTGCACAGCGACCTGCGAAAAAAGGCTGGCCACATAGCCCCCGGCAGCCCGGCGAGCCCGGCTGGGGCTTCGTCTTGTTCTTCGACGGCCAGGTCTTCTACGACTTCGGCGTCATCAAACCCGAGCACTTGGCCCCCTTCGCCACGCGGAGGGCTCCAAGGTCTTGCCCCAAAATTGGATTGCCTTCATCGGCGTCGCGGGGCAGTTTGCCTTCATGAAGGGTTACGGCAAGGATCCCTCTGTCAATGGGATTCTCGCCTCATTTTGGGGCTTGGCAGTCGCCAGTGGTCGCCCGACTTCTACCGGGTTAACCCCCGGCGGCGAACTTCTCGGACGCTGTGTCTCGGGGGAACGACTCCCGGGCACGAGCTGAGGGATGGGCGCAGGTGAGGGCTCAATTTTGGTTATGCAGGTTCTGGGCGAGGCGGCCACCGACGTCGGCTTCGCCTGTCATGGGCGCCTGAGACAGTGCTGGATCTTGCCATTTGGTAGGTGCCGGCGCCGGGGGTGAGAGGTGGGTGCGCGTCGGGCGGGCGCAGAAGTGCGCACCCCCGGCACCGGTTTTGTGGGCGGTGTGCCCGGCCGGGCACTGTCTGCGCTACGACCAAAAAGGGGCCACTGCACCTTTAGTAGGAGTTGTGGCTAACACGCCGTGAGCTATGTGTTTGTTGTGCAATGCATTCATGCACATAGGAACAAACCTACGCGGTTGGCCGAAGCACCTCGGTTCGACCGCATTTTTCGAGTCCCACCCTCGCCTCCCTGAGGTCTGTTAATCTGAGACTTCGTCTCGGGGAGGGGTGCAGAAGTGTGAACTCCAGCACCGGCACCGAGTTTTCGGGCGGTGTGCTTGGCCGGGCGCTGTGCTTTAGTAGAATTTTGGCTAACACGCCGGTAGCTAAGCGTTTGTTGGTCAAGAACTTCAGCGCCCCAGGACTGGAATCCGATTGAGAGTTCGAAGCCTAAACCCGCCACGCAAAGCTGCCCCTGAAATCCATATCCGTTGTGTCCTTAACCGAAAACTCGCAGAGGCATCGCCTTGACCCCAACAACTCTCTGTACCAGAATTGTGTGCTTCTAGTGTCGGCAACAGAATGCCTCCCCGCCTGTCTACACAAGATAGCAGTATAATCACACTAGCAAGGAGTTTTAGCTCAGGTAAACTTTCGTTTCGGATCTGGATGGATCTGGTAGACTGGTAGACAACAATGGCTTGCAGTCTGCATGAAGGTGTCATGAAGGGCAGGGGTTGATCGTTCTTCGCAGACGAGCAACATTTCCGAACCCAACAGCAGGCTGACCCTGAACCGCTTTGCGTAGATCCTTAAGCTGCAGCTTGCCCTGCTTGTCTGGACAGATGATAGCCCTGCTTCACGACCATGGTCTGCTGCTGGAGGCGTGTGCGTGCAGCTGCTCTTTCGGTTGGCTGGTGACGGGAGAACAAGTAAAAAAAACAGAAGGGACGAGGGGAATTTTCACGACCTTGCTATTGATAGTGATGGCACTAACAATGCTATGGGTAGCCAGAAAGCAGACTGACAACGGAGGCATAGTGAGGGTTCTGGTTGATGATGATGAGCGACAACGACACCACCACGACCAACAACAACAACAGCTGCAACGGCTGCTGCTGCTGCTGCTGCTGCTGCTACGACGGCGACGACGACGACGAC